TGCATCACCCTGCTACTGTTTGCACCTTGATTAATGTGGGGCAATAAATAGGATTCGGCACAACCAAAACTCAATGATGCGTTTGATGAATTTAGATTTAAAAATATATTCTGCTATTCAATTCATACATACAATTAAAATTAAATTCACTTTTTATACAAATTATGATAATTAACTCGATATAATAAATTATCAGTAAATAAGACTCTATTATTAGATAACATGATAAAATTAAACTATATTACATTTATATATCGAACTTTCATTATAAGATTTATATACAGCTAAATTACTGAATTGTGATAATTAAAAATTTATATTCAATAAATAAGACTCTATTATTAGATAACATGATAAAATTAAACTATATTACATTTATATATCGAACTTTCATTATAAGATTTATATACAGCTAAATTACTGAATTGTGATAATTAAAAATTTATATATGTGTTTTACTTATATAATATAACTGTTTTTATACTACTTTAATATAATGTACATTTATTAATTGTATTAACTGTTGCATTTAGTTTGCATTTTTGTGTGGATTATTTTTTCATTTAGCTTAATGATGTGTCAAACAAAAATAAAATACATTTATAATAAATCAACATGCTTTATTTCTTTATGCTAAATTTTATAAACTCATTTTCAATTAGTATGATAATTGTATTTGTCAAATATAAATATTTTATTAAGTAACTTTAATAATACCATCACTCATTGCCACGTGTTGAGTTGCCACTCATTGCCAATTTATAATTTCAATATTATAGACACTAGTACACAAATACCGTAGTGAACAGTTAAGACCAGTAATACCGTGATCAGACACGACAATACTGTGTTTCATAAAACTGATTGTTCCATAAGAACTATACTAATATTATAGTAATTTTACAAATATTTTAGTAATAAGATTTTTGAGATAAAAACAAACTATCAAAATAAAATAAATTGTAAATTAATTAAAATCTAACCACCAGAAATTATTGAATTATGTTTATAAATAATATTACATGACCTCTTTACATAATAAAAACAAAAAAATAACAGTTGCAAACAATATGATCTAGTTTGAAATATTGAATTTAATTTAAAAAATCAAAATTCTAAACTAGTACAAAATCACAACAAATGTTTACTTATGAGCTAAATTTATAAATATTAAATGCTTTACTCAAAGTGAATTATGGGATATACATACGTTCAATGTGAACACATACTTGTGAAAATAGCATGGACAATTGCATTTATAACAATCACAGGTACATTTTGCAACGGGACAAAGCGGCCAATACATGGGTCAAGCATCAAACCATCGCAACCACCACCACCACTACTACCATCATCAACAACACCAACATCGGTAGTGATGGCATCGGCACCGGGTGTTCACCCTCTTAGCCAAAAGCAAAGCGAATACCAGTCAGAAGTGCGCAAAAATATGTCCCTAAACTCGTTGCTGACCATTAATTTTAATCAATACGTGTCGCAAAACACGTGGCAAAACGGCTCAAACATTACGAGTGCCCAGTCGTCCAACGACTGGATACGTACCATATTTAACGTGTACGACTTGTTTAATGGATTTTCCACCATGGTCAACTCGTCCAAACCAATCAATACGGTGGGCAAACCGCCACCCGGTGCTACTATGCCACCCGCCAGGCCATCAGCGCCACCCCAGCATGGTGGTGGCATTTACAATGATGATTACGATTATGATGGTTATGGTTATAATTATAACTATGGCCGTGGTAATTTTAAGAAAAATCGCACTAGATTGAAAGTGACTAAAATGCCTATTAATAGTACTTTGCGTTACATTTACACGTAAAGAGCATTATTATAATAGTAATACTGGTTATACATCCATATATGTAATAAATTTGTTCAGTCTCTCTCTCTCTCTCTCTCTCTCTCAAATTCTGTAACGTATTTATTATAAATAAATATCAATACGAACAACATGCAATTATGAATTTTTAATCGACAGAATATTAAAAATTAGTAACAATATTATATGTTGCTAAAGTAACATGTATTTAATTAAAGAGAATAAATATATACACATTAATCAAATGGCGAGAGAAAAATAAATACAATAAATAATTATTTATAAAATCAAAAACAATTTGCAAATAAATGGCAATTATATTGTGTGTCTATAAATGTAATAATGAGGAGAAGTATTGCGGGAAACATTCACTCCAATGTTGTCGCCGTTTGCATCGCTACGAACCAACTGTTTTAGAGTAAAAACTCAATTAAAAAATGGTCATTTAAGTGATTTATAAAAATTAATGTTTTATCACATTATTATAAGCCACTTAAATATTGTCATTGACTCTCTCTCTCTCTCTCTCTCTCTCTCTCTCTCGCCTCCCAATACATACCGTTCGGCAGAGCCGACAGTCTCGGCGCGGAAGATGAGTGTGGGCTGACCCGGATGTGAGAGTTGGACGAGTAGTTTGGCGTCAATGCCGTCGACGGCGTCCCGCAAACGGTCCACTTTGAAGCCCAGTAGGGGCTGAGACTTGAGCGCCGCCACGTCTTCGCTGGCCTTATATGTGTACAAAACCATGTCTTTGATGACAAACCAGTAGTT